GGAAGCGGCGCCGTGTGTCGGTTCAAACAGGAATGCCGGCTCTGACGACGCACCTCTTCGCCCTCCGCGAGGAATCCATCATTCTGACTAGGCGGGCCCCACCCGAGCAGGAGTCAGGCAAGGGTGTTCAGTCTGAGCAGAAGAGGGGAGAGCCACGAATTCTGCAAATGCACCCCGCGCCCTCGCGCGCTCTAGGGGAGGGACTGGGCTGCGGGAGTCGAGGCCCCTGCCCTGTGACACTTGCAGGGCGCATCATCCGTCAGGGACTGACAAGTGCCCGTTGCATCGCTGTGGGCAGCACACCTGAACCCAGGGTCGTTCCCGGGAAGAGGGACACAGGGCGCCGTGGGCCTTGAAGGGGAGGACGTGCGGGCCTTCCTAGTGCCCTGAACTGCCTACCGGCCAAGGGGCCCGGCAGTTGAGTGTGGCCACCAAAGGCGGTGGCCAGTGTGAAGAGGCTGCAGGTGGCAGGGCCGGGCACCCTGATGACCTCCAAGCCCCTGCCATCCCGACCCCAGGAGAACTCGCTTCTCCCCTCCATGAGCTACAAACAGCGCCACATTCTCCCTGGACCATTTAAGCTACAGGATTCCTCCTCGGTTGGTCCTGAAATTCCGCCGTGTTGCGCCCCAGCCAGTTAACTCCCTGCTTACGGCCAGAGGAGGCGGGACTAGTGAAAGGTTCTTTGACTTAATTCCTGGACCTTCCCTTACCTCTGTGGCCTTGGGCAAGTTCCTGAACCTCCCCGACCCTCATCTTCTTTATCTGCAAAAGAATTCAATGCTACTCCATCTTTAAGGGTCCTTGCCAAGATTAAATGAGGCAAGAAACATGGGGTGCAAGGCCCGAAGGGACGCTGATGGTGCAGTGGAGGGGTTGTGACACACGCCTCCAGTTCTTGGATAAGAGCAGTTCTCTTAGCCACCCCCCCCATTCCGCCCCAGGCTTCTCTCTTTAAACAGGTGCCATGGTCCCCAGCAGTGGGGGTCAAGGACTCAGACGTGGACTTCTGGCCAAGGCAGATCTACCTAAGACAGAAGCGCAGGGGGCTAGGAGCCCAGATGGTTTGGGCTGTGTGATCTTGACGAAGGACCTTAACCTCTCTGAGCCTCTGTCTCCCCATCTATAAATATAATTATTAACCAGGGGGTCTTATCAAGACGGGGAGCAAACAGAGAAAAATCAGTTTCCAAACAGGTGGAGCAGAAGGAACGAGACAGCAATAAAAACCCACTGGAGGAGAAAACATATCAGTGGAAATTGAAACCGGGTGCTCCTTTTAAAAATTGTAATTCTAAAGTTGTTTTCTTTCTTTGGCAATATATGTATCTAGCTGTTTTCAGAAGGTTAGAATGTTTAATAACAGCTTAGTTTATTCAGCCAATGACTGCTACATTACCACTTTTTTTTCTTTTCGAGGTAATCTTTTCAGAAGAATAAAGAATGCCTATAAAATTAATCAAAGGCTACTTATTCAGAGCTTACTGTTATAATCAGGGAGGCAGCTCTTGGCACTTCTGTTCTGGCAGAGATGACAGGGGATTTTAAAATCTTTTTTTTTTTTTTTTGTATGTGGAGGTACCGGGGATTGAACCCAGGATGTCGTGCATGCTAAGTATGCGCTCTACCACTGAGCTATACGATCCCCTTGGCAAAGGGTTTTAAAGGAGTGTGGGTTTTATGGGGTTAAAGGGCGAATGAGGTGAAAAGATACAGTGAGTAGTTCTGTTTCTTCCTAGCTGTGTGAGTCTTGGCAGCTTGCTTGACCTCTCTGAGTTTGTCATGTGTATAACTACAAAGAACATACCTATTTTCCAGTGCTGGAATTCACTGGAGTTAAATGAGATAATGTACACAGGAAGCTAGTATCACGATGGCATTTTTCCTTCAATTAAAAAAATGTTAGACAGCAAAGCAATGAGCATCTCTTTTTTTTCCCCCAGTAATTGGGAAAGAGCAAGTATATTTAAATAACAGGAAAAGTGGGGGTTTTTTGTGGGTAATAAACAAAATTCTATTCACCTTTCTGCAGTGTGAACCTGATACACAATGCTTGTGGTTTTGCCTGAAAAGGACTGTCGACTTGAGAAGAAAGACTGAGGGCCTGGATGCAACTTCCAAAAGAAGGACTCTGGCACTTGAGTTTCTTTTTCCTGGTTTTCACGATCTCCAGCTTCTGCTA